CTGCAAGATAAGCAAACATTTCTAATACATTTTCACATGGTAAACAAGAGATGTCTTGCAATATGAATAGTTTGTTTCCAGAACGAATTATGCTCACAAACCAAGGTTTTACTGTAACTCCCAAATCTCACAAAGATAATTGAAATGTAAAACATCTTAAAATTAAATTGTGTGTGTTACATTTGCTGCATTTTCCCATAAAAAGGATTCCTGATTATTTTTTCATGTATATAATGTGCAGAAATATTAATGTCTGTTTACTTTAATGCTAGCATTTGAAGCTGTGTTCAAGTTAATTAATGAGAAAAATGGATTGCCTGTTTGATTTTCAATTGTGAGGGCAGAGTAGAACAGAAATGAGTCAATTTATTCTGATTTCCTGACTGAATTCAGTGGCCAAATGTGGAAATGACAATGTTATGAGTAGAAATTTTAGTCTGAAGGTTCCATTTCCACAAGCTATATAGCCTTGGATAGGAGAATGGGAAATGCTTGCTCAAACAGATTCAGTGAAGCACATGATTTGAGTATCAGTCCTCAAGGAATTAGAGGACTTGAAGTTTTCACTGTTTCAGATCTCCAGCTAGACCATTAGCTCCAGACATGAAACAAAGTGCTGGGAGAAAGATTCCTTTGTTAATAATAGCTATGTTGCTTGGTGTGTGCATGTATGTGTTTGGAAAAGTCTGTCCCTTTAATCTCTCTCCTGACAGGTAGACCCTCTTCCAACACCCTCATTCAGAAGATTTTTAAAAGGTATTTTATAGAAAGACTCATATCTTTTACAAATCTCAGGTTTATTTTCTTGCTTTCCAATCCTCATGCCTCATTTTTTTTTTGTCTTATTGTATTGTCTAGGATCTCCTATGAGATCCAATGTTGAATTATGGGTACTGTAACAGGCATTTTTTTCCTGTTTCTTCTTTAGTGGTTGCTAAAATTTTACCACTAAGCATGAGATTTCTGATCGATGCCTTTGGGTAAAAAGCCTTCCATTGTATTCCTAGTTGTCTAATAGTGTTTTTTGTTTGTTTACTAGTTTATTTTTAGTGAATGAGTGTTGAATTTTACTGAATACTGCTCTTCTGCACTTATTAAGATGCCATGTGGCTTTTTTATCCTTTAATATATGAAACTGCTAGATGTTTTCATTTTGAACCATCCTTCCAATCCTGAAATAAACCCCGTTGATCTTAATGACTTTGAAAATACATAGCTAGATTAGATTTTCAAATAAATTATTTAGGATTTTGCACTTATGTTTACAAGTGATATTGGGTCTGCACTTTTCTGACTTCGAGCTAAGTGTACAGCTCTTTTTCCTGCCTTCCTCGGGATTGTTTCATTTCCTGTTGTCTCCTAGCCACCCTGTCAGCTCTGAACTCTGAGGTCAGCAAGCCTCCGCCTCCAAACCTTCTCGCTGGGTTGTGTTTCTGTTCTTTTCTGGTAGACAGAGGTATTTATTTTGCTCTTATTTTATTTACTTATTTGCTTTTGTATGGATCTATTTACAGTGTGGGTATGTGTGTCCTTTCCTCTCCTGGACTGACTGCCTTTTGTCCCAGCATTGCTTCCTGTAGCCCTCCGGTTTTATTGACTTAGACGAAAACCATCTCCATGGTGCAGTCACACCTCTGTGCTTGGCTCCATCAATGACATTTAATAAGCACACTCCTAGTTCCTTTATATGAGTTGTC